CCATGACTCTTCAAATCAGACTGGCTGGGATATCAGAGAAACAGCTTGTTAAAAATTGTGGGAATTTATCTTTTCGTCTTCTTCCAACCTAAGCTGATAAGCGTTGTTGTCTTGAACGCATTTCTGTTTTCTTAATGTCTTTTCACGAAAACCACCAGGAAAAATAAATAAATAAATAACCAAATAAAAAATGTATAAATGAATAAAAGATAAAATTAATAATTTTGTTGTGGGGGTGGGACAGGGAAACCCTAAGAAAATCCCACTTTCACTGGACAGTCATCAGATATTTTATCTGTCCAGTGCCGTGTTGAAAGAATTAAAAATATATTAGAAAATACCCTAAAATGTTTAAACATCAGTCTTTAAAGATTATTGTGTACATGCGTGGATGGCTTCCTGAAGTATTCTATATGCAAGACGTGTTGTAATCTTGTTATCTTGAATACGAGATACTTTCCAACAGCATATGGACGAACGCGAATTTAATTAGATCCTCTGATTTTAGACCCACTTCAAAAAGTCTTTACTCGTTATCCGTTGTAAAAACTAATAAATATACTATCATGCAGAGCAGCAACGCATATATTATGTTGACCCTTCTATCTTCCTGCCACATAAATACTCTTTTCAAGAAGTGTCTATGATCAACATTTGAAGTTTAGAATTTTATAACTTGGAATAAGTTTCTAATTTCTTGTTTTGATGGATTTTTAGAATTCAATTGTTTTAGTTTTGCAGGATATAGTTTGATCCACCACATATTACACAATACTTATAGTTTACTTATATATGATTTTGGTGTACTTTGGTGACAGATTTTCTTGTAGGCAGATTTTGTTAAACAAGACCGATGTCTGTAGGTTTACTTTCTTCTTAGAATTCTTCTCAAGAAGTCGATAAGCCGTCTTAACGTTGTTAGAACAACAGGTAAAAGTTGTAGCTAGCGATGAGTTGGCCGATGCGTTTCGAATGCATTCTGCATCCATTATCAAGGCTGAATGTTGTGTGAATTGTGATTACTGTTGGTAGATATTTATAGGTATGGGTAAGCAGGTGGTGGTATCTAGCTCGTGGGAGGCGTTAATTGGTGGAGTGTTGTACTGTGGCTTGGGGGTTTTTCGCCAAGAAGTAGCAGTGTGCGTGCT